GAAATATCATTTGGGGAATAAATAGTTTCAAGAATCTAGTCTAAGTCAGCTGTTTGGGTGTTTTGTGTGCCATTGCACACATGGCGTCGCATTCATGTACTTCCGCGAAAATTCACTCAACCACCGTTTTCCCATTATGAATCTCGTCCAACCACTTTTTCCTCTTTTTTTTCGGCCGTTTGTTTTCCTTTTTTTCACTGTTTTTAGCCTTTTATGCTTTACCATTGTCCTAGTGTAGGCCTTACCTACCACTATCTCTAAAATACCGGATACCCCCAAAATTGTCCTGAACTGTGCCTTTAAGCACCTTGAATAGGTCTTTTTTCGATCTCTTTTTCGTTCTTCTTTTGTAAAAGTTTTCTTAGAGAGAAACTCTGTTAGCTGGTGAGGACGACTCAACACTTCTTACACTTTTCTGGCCATAAACCTAAAGATTGGAGAGAAATGAACATCTTTTGCGGCCTAACCCCACGTTAACTCATTCTATCCTCTCGCTTACCAATCAGTGAGTGTTTTAGGGCCCCAACTGAATATTTCAAACCAGTGAGTATGATTCAGGTCATACCCAAGGAGCAATGTCGTGCAGATCCGAAGAATGGATAAACGGCGTGAGGTAGTAGTATGGCGAGCAATCCCGCTGGAATGTCGGATGATAGGAAACCGTTCATCAGACCTAAATTAGAGTTATGATGTATGCATAGTAAAGGAATGCAGGATGAAAATAAAGTCACCCAAAGTGCTGCGGAAAGGACGATGCTCGAAATTTCCCTATCCACGAGAGTGCAGAAGGGAATCCGGGAACCGAGCTCGGTTACCGACCGAACATCAGGGATGCTGTTGCTTACGCTTTGAATTCGAATACTAGGCTGGCCGGACACGTTATGGGTAACTGTGATGGCCGTTGCAACAGGGCGGTCCCTCGGGACTTCTAGCGAACACCGGGACGGCTGCTACTGCGATGGTCTAGCTTTTCCACGAAAGCCTCGAACAGAAGGAATGCTATGTTTCGTGTCNCTCAAGCGAGGACGATTCATCGAACCACTGATTCGCGACAGGAACGAATGGATACGCTACTGGAGCTCGCTTGAGGAAATTCATTATCAAAGGAACGGGCGAGGGACAGGTGACAATAAGCAAGGAAGTTTATTAGAGCTCAAAAGTCAGGCTTGGGAAGGACGCGCTGGTTACTGGAGCCGATTTAATTTGAGAATGGATCCAATCTAGGCCATTCATCGGCCTTTCCAATCCCTTTGAGCTCAGAGTCGGGCTATGACAATCAAAAAAATTTGTAACGAGTAGTAACCAAACTCGTTTATACTTATTCTGCTTACCACGCTGTATTACGGTGCGATATATCGCTTACATTATGCTTCCTATGAGCGGTTTAGGCTCTACCAGTAAATCAAAGGCACAGTTCACGAGAAGAATGGTTCTTGAGATTTCCCCACAGGATGAATTTGAGGGCCCATGCGTATACTATAACTGGCACTATAAGGTAGGAAAACGGCCCGGTGAGGGAGTTATAGATGCTCAAAGATTGGCACACGTGTATCCTCAGACGAGTTTCACCGGCATTGTAGAGGCCGCACCGATCACAAGGGAACCCATGTAGGAAGTCAAACAACTTTTATGACCCATAGCGGCAGTGAAAGACAAATCTGTACAGTTCTGGCTTGATACAGTGCTCTTTGCGCAGCTGCAGTAACTGAAAGCTCGTCCGAATACTTGTTCTATGTCATTTCCGTCATGGCAAACTCGTCCAACCTCTATTTTCCCTACTTTTGGAGAGCCATATTCTTCTCAAAATTGAAGAATTCTCTCGCTCTCTTCGCTACCGATGAACTATTCACAAACTATACTTCCGTTTTTCGAATTGAAACGGGTATCTAAGAATTATCGTGAACTGTGACTTTAACTGTATGTAAGAAATGATGCACGAATTCCTTAACTGAACTACTCACCTTGTGGGATCAGTATTGCTGCGATCAAGAATGAGCCGAAAAGGTCACGCACAGCTTTGGCCCTCATGTCATAGTTCCTGATCCAGCTTAGGAATGGCAGTAAGTCTTTCGCCGATTTATAGCTGTGAAGGTTGTCTGCGATAAGCCCAAAAAGGACTTCACGATTTGTTTTCTTCTTCTTATATCGGATGAAGTTGAAACGCGAATCAAATTCATCCTGGAATCACAACGACTTTCGAATACAGTGGTTTTGTAGGTTCGTGGAAGAAATACTGCAGTAAACAATAAAAATATAAAGTAATGAAACTAAGGAAAGGTGAGAGAAAGCGGTTATTCTTATAATGTCGTACCAGAAATGACTTCTTTTGTTATTACTTATTTTTTATTTTTTTTTTGCTTGTTGTTTTTCATTTTTTACTTTTTGAGTGTTCCTAGTACTATGTAGTGTTCTGTTAGCAAATAAACGTGGTTCTGTAAGCTTAAATCAACAACAGAAAGGAATTCAACAATTTCCTATAACGAATCAAGATAACTCTACTTGCAAGTTACCGTTACCAGTTTCATGGGGGAGATGGTGGGCAGTAGAAACGGTTTCGTGTAATCGATCCGCCGCGCGCGGCTGCCGCGGACCATTTGCCTCATTATACCAGCTCTAGCGTTCTTCATATAGCACAATCTTTATGCGATTATTACTTTTGACATGATTCTACTGTTAGTTCTTTTGTTCCTGTATATCTTACTTGCTGCTGCATTCTGCGGCATTCCTTCGCGCGCAACGTCTCTCACCGCGACGCGACCATTTCGTTCCTAACGCACCACACCCGTCGTTTCATGGCTCTTAGGTCAGCGGCGTCTTTCGGAGTTAACCCACCCCGACTAGAACGATAGGAAGTTTTAGGCAGCCACCCATACATAACCTTAATGGCCTTTTTCATAACCTTCGAAATCGTTTCATTGTTACTGTTACGTACCTGAGATTTTGAAAGCATAGCACTGTAAAGTGCTGTCCATTACTCAGTGTGGACCCCTGGAGTTCTAAGGGTTTTGAACAACGAGTTGGGTGCATGGCGCATCCTTCAAGGCATTAAATGATGCCGGGGATCTAACTGAAAAGCTGACAGCATTTTCTATTCACTGAAGCTTATCCTTCTCTCAGCAGTCTTGCTATGGCGTCGACAAGCGCTAGGCCAGCGGGGCTGGTTACAGGAAACGGCCTGCGTCCTACCACGGAAAACTCCGCCTGAACTAACCATTGACATAGGAAACGATATTGGTATTATTGATTGGATCGATGTTTCATACAGTGACATAAACATTACAGTTCCATGTTTATGGGATCGGGGAGACCCCTTGCATAGGTCCTTCGTCAGATTTGAACGACATTGCATAACAGGATAGAGCCGTTATTCCTTTGTAATGTCAAATCCATTAACACTCCATGCTTCTACCCTTCACATATAATCCTTTCTCTGAAGTGATTAGTCTGACCTGCAAAACAAGGGGATCCCCACCTGGAATTATGACTCTTGGAGGCTTCGTAAGGCTTAAAAAATCAAAGCAAAGGGCGCACGGGTATTTGCACCGTTGAAGATGGCTGATAATGAAATCATATGTGTTCGGAAAGGTCGGAAAGGAGATGGTACTCCTAATGGCTCAAAAAACACCCAGCAGAGATGGAACTTTGACTTGAAATGATAATTCATCTGAAAAACTAGGATTCGCACCTGCCAGGTGGTGGGTGGTTTGGCATTCATTTGTCTGATACTTTTCGAAGTCGTCAAAGTGCTTTAATGATAAAATTACATGCGTGTGCTCTACTTTTGAAATAAGTGATATTTTACCTAATTATGGTTATCCTGTTGACTAAATAAATTAATTTGTATCTATTTTGTTTTATCCAGAGCCTTTTCTGATTCGAATAAAAGAATAAATCACATGACAGACACATGGTTAGAGCAGAAAGCGAAAATTCATAGCAGATTGTTGTTGTATTTGGAAAGTAGAATTCAGAATCCCTCATAAATACTTAGAACCCTTTCCCCGGTGGAAGTTGGACGAGTTTCCCTTTCGCCGGTGGAAGTTGGACTAGTTACAGTTCCATTTTTGAGAACCGACCTTTTATTTTCGCCACTTTTGTCTTGTCTGTAGGCCATTCGTTGTTACACCTGTTCTTCTTGATAGAAAATTAAACAAATAAATAAGTAAGTAAACAAATGAACAAGCACTGCCCCACAGCTTTCATTCCCAAAGATATTGGCACGGGAGTTGTCATTCTCGCGCATCCCTGTCCCGCAATGATAAGTCCGCCCTAGCACGCTCCTCCATGCAGCGATGTCCGAGTGGTTAAGGAGTTGGACTTGAAATCCAATGGGCATTGCCCGCGTAGGTTCGAACCCTGCTCGCTGCGAAAGTTTTGCATTTGGACTGGTATTGCATAAATGATCTGTCCTGCTCTTTCACAATGCTTATGGACCCATTTTACATAATTTGCAGCCTCATTGCGCTCCACTACTCTTGAGAATTACAGTCACGAGTTCTTTTCTCCTAACAAAAGAATTTCTGATGGTAATATCACCCCATGACATCAATTGTCACCCCACATACCTAATATTAAGTTTATAATGAAGAAAATGAAAGGCACACGTTTAATCGACTAGCAGGTGGGCTAAATGGGCAGATTTCTTTGATGCACATCTTGGAAGAGCTTTTCCCAACGAATTCCAAGTTATCTCTATCTTACTGCGTACGCCGCTAGAAGAGTCCCAAAAATGGGGAATCGCTGAGTAGAAACTCCAGCAATACTTATAAGGGTTATTTGCATTTTGACTGAGAAATGCAGGTTTTCATGCTTACAATGCCAAGCGTTTACCCCAACCTAGCCCTTATGATTATATTAATAACTGTCTTTTATACTACATGAGAAATACTATTACTTTCTCACGATTCTTGGGAATACCTATGATTTATAGCGTTGAGTGTTACCATGAGCAGAATTACGCCACTTTCAGGAAAACCTAGTAGCGAGGGCATTTGATATGCTCTAAAAAAGTCAACGGTAAGTTGAAGGTAGTTGCCAGAGTTGAGGTGATGTAGTAGCAAGTGGCGCACATTATTCATGAAAAATACCGGATGCCGGATCGATACTCGCCCAGAGCAATCAACCCTTCCATCCCCTCCGGGATTGCTGCCAAAGTCGTTTGNCCGCCGTAGCGCAATCCTCTATGCAGCGATGTCC